CCGCGTCGGCGCGCATCGCGCACTTGCGCGTCGCCCGCCCGACACACTGAATCGACGCCGCCCGGAGCTGGTCCGCAGGCCGCGCGCAGGGGTGCGGGGCTCGCACCGGCGAGAGGGGCCGCGCTGAGGGGGCCCGGCGCTGCCCCTGCCTCTCGAGGCCGGGCCCGGAAGGGGGTAGTTTGACGCGCAGAGCGCAGGGGGAGTGTCCACGGCGGCCCAGGCCCGGTCCCGAGGTTAAAGGTCCCAAAGCCTGAAGTGTTAGCGGAGCGGGGTCGCGGGTGGAGTCCTTGTCCCCGCCTGTACCGGGAGGGTCGTTTGCCGAAAGCGGGCAGCAAGGAGAAGCGTGGCTCCAAGGCCGCGGCCGACGAAAGAAGACACACGAGTTTCTGACAGAGCGGCTGTGTGGCGGGAGAGAGGCCGGCGTCCAAGAGGACAGTTCGGGCCCGAGCGTGCAGAGCATCGGCGAAGGTAGGGTGGAAGCGCAGGGCGGCGGGTCGTAGGGGGAAGACCCCGGGTCCAGTTCGGGGCCGCCGAACCTTCCCGAAAGCGGTCTCGGGCCGCGCCACCTCGGTTGCTGCGTCCCCCGGAGTCCACCTGGTGATGTTGGGGACCCCGGGTCTCACGGGCGCCTCTCCTCGGCAACCTCTGCCACTCTTTGCTGAGGAAAGGAGTTGATGAAAACAGGCCTAAACAAACGATTTGACTCCAAGAGCCTTTTCCAGAGTCTCCTTCTGCAGTCCTCCAGAGCCAGCGACTGTCATGACCCTCCCCCACATGACCCCCATGACCAAAAGTCTTGGTTAGGGGAATGTAAAATAAGCAGGGGTGATAATGCTTCTCTTGTACGTGCTGCTCTCTACTTGGGGCTCACTCTTGTCCTTAATTTTACCAAGACCACCAAAGTCGAGGGCCTACTTCCACTTCCACAGAAAAGTCTGAGGCCTTCTCTGTAGCTTCCCTCATCATGTTCACGCTAATTCTTCCACACAAACCTTTCCTTTCCTTAGGCGGCTAATGCCTCCCCAGTCACCAGGGTGTCTGCTGGGCTCCAGTTTCCCTCCTTCCTGGACCTTCATTTCTTGATCCTCACTCCAGAGTGAGACGCTGCTCAGTGGTCAGACCAAGACCCAGCATGCTAATCAGTGACCTGACGACGCCTAAAATTCCAGACATCTGCCCGCGGAAAGATCAGAAGTAGCAATGGCTTTGGTTTCAAGTATTCAAAATGACCCACCATACTCACCTGTCCTTTCAAAGACAGAGAGCTCTGAAAAATCCCTTGTTTGGAGCCTGTTCTGCTTTGGAATTAACCTAAGGGGTGTAGTTGCCCTTTTTCCTTTTTAGTGTTGCCTCCTGAGACCCACAACCCTGTAATAACCTGTCCTGCTAGTGCAATAGATAATCCAACAGAGAGCACTGGACACGAAAAAGTGCAAGGAAAACCCTCCTTTGACCAGCAATGGAACCCAGACCTCCCACAAGGAAGGCCAGAATTCTGCTACTGAACCACTGATGCTTGTTTCTCAACTGCTGGAGTAGGTCTAATCAGAACGAGTCTCTGGAAGGACTTTGAAAAAGCAATTCTAAAACAGCTTTACACAGCTGTTCTCTTTGGAAAACAGGTAGCACATAGAAAACACTTGCAGCAAAGACTTGCAGAGGGGATTTATGTAAAGTAGCACTATAAAGTAATGGCACTCAAATCAAAATATCTGATTTGAAAGAGCCTAATTCTGGTGGGGCGGGAATCTTCCCAAGTAGATAGTAGACTTCTAGAAAAATATCAGAAAATGGGGCACCTCGTTGGCTCAGTTGGTAGAATATGCAACTCAATCTCAGTGTTGTGAGTTTGAGCCCCATGTTAGGTGTAGAGATTACTAAAAATCTTTTTTTTTTTTTTTTTGACAGAGAGAGACCCAGTGAGAGAGGGAACACAAGCAGGGGGAGTGGGAGAAAGAGAAGCAGGCTTCCTGCAGAGCAGAGAGCCTGATGCGGGACTGGATTCCAGGACCCCGAGATCATAACCTGAGCCAAAGGCAGACGCTTAATGACTGAGCCACCCAGGCGCCCGAGATTACTAAAAATCTTAAAAAAAAAAAAAAAAAATTAGTTCAGACTCTTGTGTCTGGTCCTAAATCTAGTGTGGACCTATGGAAAGCTAATTTCCTCCCTGGCTGAAGCAAACTCTGCCCTTCCATTGCTTGGTGCCTCCCAAACCCTTTCCTCCCATTTTTTTCACCAGTTCATTATACAGTGAAAGTTCAGGAGGCTGGCTCTTTGCATACCCGCTGAGTTACTCAGGAAAATTGGGGTGATAATTGAGTTTCTCACCTCTGAAGCTTCTTTTGAGTGTCTAGAAAAGACCAAGGAAAAAATAGCCCAGCTTTTAAACTGTGATGTCTTGCAGAGACCTATACAGGATGGATAAAAAGTGAAAATTCCCAGATTTCTTTCCTTCATCACATCATCTTGGCCACAGAAGGCAGTCAGTGAAAAACAATTTGACATTTCCTGTAGACACTAGAATATCACTTCTTCAACCAATTTAAAAGCATCCCCCTGCCCTTTGTCTTTGTATGAGAGTCATATCTTCACTTACAGTGCCTTACAATTAGCCTGGTACAGACTTGTACTATTCTTTTTTTTTTTTTTTTTTTTTGAAGATTCTATTCATTTATTTGACGGAGAGGGAGAGGGAATACAAGCAGTGGGAGTGGGAGAGGGAGAAGCAGGCTTCCCGCTGAGCAGGGAGCCCGATGCCTGGCTCCCTGCTGGGCTCCACGCGGGGGTCCATGTGGGGCTCCATGTGGGGCTTGATCCCAGGACCCCGGGATCATGACCTGAACCGAAGGCAGACGCTTAACGACTGAGCCACCCAGGTGCCCCTAGACTTGTACTATTCTTAATATATAGCCCTTTTCTGTCTAACACACTGCCATAGCTGGAACTTACTTTTATACCCAATTTGAGAGGATTTGAATCCATTGTAATTGGTTGTATTTAGTGTTGGTTAGAGATTGCTGACAGTTGTTTTCACTTCCACCACCTCATTGTGTGATTTCTGTTGTTAAAAAAAAATTTCTCTCTGCCGGAGTCCTGAGATCGAGTCCCACATTGGGCTCCTAAGGAGCCTGCTTCTCCCTCTGCCTGCCGCTCCCCCTGCTTGTGCTCTCTCTGTCAGATAAATAAATAAAATCTTAAAAAAAAAAAAAAAGAATAACATTAGTTTATAAGTCATCCCAAGGTGGCCGCTACATGTATTCAAAGACATATACAAAAACTCTTTCAGGGGCGCCTGGGTGGCTCAGATGATTAAGCATCTGCCTTTGGCTCAGGTCATGATCCCGGGGTCCAGGGACCGAGCCCTGCGTCGGGCTCCCTGCTCAGCGAGAGCCTGCTTCTCCCTCTCCCTCTGCCTGCCGCTCTGCCTGCTTGTGCTCTCTCCCTGTTTCTCTATCAAATAAATAAATAAAATCTTAAAAAAAAAAACCTAAAAAACTCTTTCAATGACTTTGACAAATGGGAAAGATACCCTGTGGAGCTAGAAAGAATTTCGTAAGTGACAATCACAATATATGTATATAGAGATTAAAACACAAAGCGATCCACACATACAGGAGGAGGGCGGGACTAGGAAATAGGGATGTCAAACTCGACTTCCAAGTTCAATGAAAAGCCAATATATTTCCTCAATGAGGGAAAAGAAGCAGACATAACCCTGGGCTATGGCAAGAAGAAAATTCAGACACAGGATAGAAATCTTTATAAATTAATTATTCACACACTGAATATTATACTCAGAATTTTTCTTATAATATTAAACTGATGTGGAATAAAACTAGAGAACCAAAGAAGAACACCAAGACTACCAAAAAGTTTTAAATTTTTCCTGACGGAAAAGTGAAGTGACTTCATAACAGTCCTTAAGACAACGAAAGAATCTGGGAAAATATTGATTCCTTCATGTTTTCTATGCACTTACAAGAATAAACAATGAAAAATATGCTTAAATTTTAGAAAGAGGTGTGGTGTCAGCACATGGGCACACAAATACTGAGAGTGGCTGCTGGGGGCTTGGGGGGACTTCACAACAGACCAGGTGACCTTGTGTATCAGCGAGGCCTCAGCAACTGGAAGACAGGGGCTCCTAAGATTCCATGACACCCCGCACTTTCCAGTTCTGTTATTGTGACTCCAAACAGTTACCTGGCAGGCTGGGTACTCCGTCTGGCACTCTTGCCAGAGCCTGAGTTGCAGGCAGTGCCCCAGGCTCTGAGCTCTGGTATCTTCTACCTTGTTTGTGTGGTTAAGAATTCTTACAGTTGTGGAATGCTGAAAAAGTTTGGCCCCAAAGTAAGTATGAATTACATCTGCAAACTTTAGACCTGTTTAAGTCCATTTTTTCCCCACCTAATGAAATTTTGAGGTATAATTTACAAACTATAAAACTCACTTATTAGGATTGTACAGTTCAGTGATTTTTAGTAATTTACCAGGCAGTGCAGCCATCACCATAATCTATTCACTTGTTTCTAATTATTTATGGGGTTTCTGCTCCCCAGGTCCTGGCTCTACTTCTTCTACCACCACAAGCTTCAGCATGGCAGAATCTCTCACCACTTTCTCTGATCCGAGGACAGAAATGAGCGTCCTGGAAACCAACCAGTACTTGTGCTCCCAGCTGGAAAAAAACAAACAGAACTTCCGAGACCTCACGGAGAAATTCCTCACATCCAAGGCTACTGCTTACATCCTGGCCAACCAGCTGCAGAAATACAGTAAGCCCTATGGGTTCACAGTCACCAGAGTGATAAATGATTGTCTAACTTCCCTATGAGAAACTAAACACTCTCCAAACTTTATTCTTCTCTCTCCATCAAAATATATCTCGTCCTGACTATACTCCTGGAAAGGTAGAAGTGGGTATTTTACCCTCAATTTGCAAAAGATGGAGACACTGAGGCACAAAGGAGTAAAGTTTACAGTGAGAGGTAGGGAGGCAGAGAGGCTAAAACCCTGGTTCAGACACTGAACTATCTTTTCTCTCTCAGGAACGTGTGTCAGATTCTAGAAACATATAGTATCACTTTTATTAAGTACCCTTTGCAAAGCATTGTGCTAGCTGCCCTGGGAGTGTACTAGTATTCTCCACCTGCCTTATAGGAGCTTAAAGCTGTCTGTTCCCCGCTAAACCGCAGATACCTGGAGATCAGAACATCGATTGCAGACGCAGAGGGAAGTCCTGATGCCTGGAGCAAGATTTTTTTTCCCATATGAGTTTTAAGAAGCTGTTCCTCACACTCTGGTGAGATTGAAAGTATTTCCAGGAAAATCAGAGACTCTGTAACACCTTTTCGATCTCTCCCTGAATATGAACTTTGTAGACAGCAAGCTAGTCCAGGATCTGGGCTTTGAGACGTGGAGCCAAAATGAGAATGGAGGAGCTGGCCCTTCCCTCTCCATGCTCAGCTCTCACATTTGGAAATCCTTGGACAATCCCAAACCTGTGGGTAATGGGGGGGCCAGAGGGGAGGCGGCAGGAAGCTGTAGTGACTGAAGGAATCATGATGTAAGTGAGGACACATAAGAGACAGGAATATTAGAGGAGGATTCTTGCTGATATTGAAGTAGAGTTTGCTTTCAAATTTCTACAGTTATTTTTCAATAAATCAATGGGGGATAAAATTTGCTATCCAACTTACTAGACATGGAGAAAAAAGCTAAAAAGCCTACTTTTTCAAGAAGGAAAGGGGCTTCTGGGTGGTTCAGTTGGTTAAGTGACTGCCTTCAGCTCAGGTCATGATCCCAGGGTCCTGGGATTGAGCCCCTCATCAAGCCCCGCATTGAGCCCCACATCGAGCTCCCTGCTCCCTGGGATCAAGCCCCGCATCGGGCTCCCTGCTCCTCAGGGAGCCTGCTTCTCCCTCTCCCTCTGCCTGCCACTCCCCCTGCTTGTGCTCTCTTTCTATCAAATAAATAAATAAAATCTTAAAAATAAAGAAGGAAAGGATGAGCTTTGGGGTGTGGAAATATAAGGGTTTTTTTTTTTTTTACATCGCTCATTAAAATCACAATTGTAAGACAAATTTTTTGAAGCTAGAGAAGAAAAGAGATATCACCCTAGATCTTAGTATAAAGATAATACAGTGCAGTGATTAAGAGCATGTATCCTGGGCCAGACTTCTGGGGTCAAATCCAAGTTATCCTCTTTGTACCTCAGTTTCCTCATCTGTAATGGTAATAATAATATTTACCTTTTTAGCTAGTGGTGATGATTACATGATAATAATTCTTGAAAATCTACTAGAACAATGCCATGGAAGCACTATGTATTAGTTCTCCTCTATTCTAACACAACACCTGGTAGCATTCGAACATATATCTTTCAGATTTTTTTCCCCTCCTTACACATATTACACAGTTGTATCCAAATAAACTTGGAAATTTTTGAAATATTGGGGGGATTATTGAAACTCTCAACATGGGAGAACTATCAGTCCTACAAACTTTGGAGCCTTCTCCAACACACAGGAAATCACTACTTTATGTCCCAGGTTAATGCTTTACCTAAGAGGCTACAAGGCTTGGTAAAGTGGCCCAAGATTTGGAGTCAGACCTCAGGGGATATGAATTCTGACTTGTCTCCTTCCAGTTCAATTATCTTGAGTAAGTTACCTGCCCATGAGCTTCTCTTTCCTCATATCTAAAATGCCATGTAATCTGGGAGATTGAGGAATGAGATGTGGAGCTCCCAGCATGGAGCCTGGTTGCCAGGGTTCCATTTGTCCTTGGGATGGACCCTGCCTCCTCCTTTGAAGGCAGCGAGCACAGCAGCATGTCCAGCATTCCCCTGAGGCAGGTGTGTCTGTTTTCTCAGAGAGTGAAGAGTACAAAGGCCTCATCGAATCCGTGCTGGAGGAAGAAGTACAGTTTGACAGGCAACTGGCAGAGAAGATGAGACCAGCTGCAAGGCTTGGGTAAGTAGGTACCTGTGTGGGAATGTGTGAATTACTATTTGAAGTGGGGCAGCCCAGGCTGCTAGTATAAAGAGCGCATTTGTCCAAGGAGAGGGATAGAAAAGTACGTGGCAGGCACAGAACTAGGTAAAGACAACTGGCGGGGCTGTGGGAATTAGGGGGTAGTGTAGTTAGGTCTCTGGGGTTCTCCCTTAAATATCATAGGAATAAAATGGAGACAGACACCTGAGATGGAGTACTAGCAATGTGGCTTCTAGCTGTGTGACCTTGGGCAAATTTACTTAACTTTCTTTTTTTAAAAGATTTTATTTATTTATTTGACACAGAACCAGAGAGAGAGAGAGAGAGACAGAGCAAGCACAAGCAGGGGGAACGGCAGGCAGGGGAAAAGCAGGCTCTGTGCTGAGCAAGGAGCCCGATGTGGGGCTTGATCCCAGGACCCTGGGGCTCGATCCCAGGACCCTGGGATCATGACCCGAGCCGAAGGCAGCCGCTTAACCAACTGAGCCACCCAGGCGCCCCAAATTTACTTAACTTTCCTGAATCTTAGTTACCTCAACTGAGGTACAACTTCATCTGTAAAATGAAAATACTAACAGTATCATAACCCTCAGAGGGTTATGAAGATTAAATGCATTAATACAAGTTAGAACCATCTCTGACACATATGAAGCTCTCAACAAATAGTTTCTGTAATTATTATACTTTTATTTATTTATTTATTTACTTATTTATTTTTTAAAAGATTTTATTTATTTATTTCACAGAAAGACACAGCGAGAGAGGGAACACAAGCAGGGGGAGTGGGAGAGGGAGAAGCAGGCCTCCCGCCAAGCAGGGAGCCCGATGCGGGGCTTGACGTGGGGCTCGATCCCAGCACCCTGGGACCATGACCTGAGCTGAAGGCAGACGCTTAACAACTGAGCCATCCAGGCACCTCTATACTTTTATTTTTTTATAGGTGTGGTGGTTGTCATTAATGAACTAACATTTTCTACTACAAGAAATATTTTCCAAGCTTTCCAAAGTGCCTTTTCATGACAAAAATGTTTCTCCTTCTCAATCTTGATTTTTTTTTTCTAAGTATTATGCTATGTGGAGTATTAACTGGTAGGGCTATTGGGTATATAGATAATCAAGCAGCTGTTGTCTGGAAAATAGTTTATTAATAATTTAGTACTGAGGACTAGCATTGTTTATCCTCAGAGAGTTTCAAATATAGGGTAGATTGTGGCATTCAAGATGTCTTTTAACCCTTTGTTGAAATGAAATCTGAGAAGCTCAAATATGTAAAATCTAAAGCAGAGATACTTGATTGAAGGAAGCCTAGGTCTAGAGCCTCTGTTGTTCTCTAGTCTATGTCTTCACCAGCTCTGACACTTTACAGGAGCTCTATGGAATAGAGTTTGAAAGACAGTCTGTAGACTATCACTTAGTAGGACAGCAGGGAGGAGATTCAGGCATCAGATGAGGTAGATGACTATAAATGTCTAGTCCAGCTTTGGGATTATGTGGTTCTATGTGGTATTAACTGAATACCTACTTGTGTATGTACACTCCGTTGGGTACTGTAAGTTGCATAATATGTGGCACTATCTCTAGCCTCAGAGAGCTCACATTTTAGATTGGAATCCATGCAAAATATTTGTATAGTCATTAGAAAATGGTGAAAACCCACTTAGCATGATGTAATTGTTGTAACTCAGAACTTTATTTACTCTTTAGTGTCTCCTTACGGATTATGGCTTATTTGCATGTCACTGAAAAGAATGCTATGCTTCTTGACCCTTTCATTGATTTTTCTTTTCATCCTTTGAATCAACACCACGTGTACCCACCCAACACTTCTATATCTGGCTTGTGCATATGTGCACGCCACTTTCTGCATAATGCTTGATGATATATAATCCATGGAAGTGGATGTGGGCTGAATTGAGGAACTGAAGGGGCATCTTTTCAAAGTAAAGTTAATAAAAAACAAAGAACCAAACCCAATGCTGTTTCCTCATTCCCTCTGCCACAGGCAAGTCATACAACCTGTGTAAAAATTCAACTTGGGAAGTTCCTTAGGGGCATTCTACGAGATGTCTCTGCTGAAACTCCCATAACCTATGCACTGTTACATTTTACTTGTTTTTCTTACTTTAGGAAATATGATCCCCTAATTCAGGCTCAGGCACAAGAACTGACCCACTTACGGCAGAGGATACAGGAAGGGAAAGGTGTCTGTTATCTTTTCATTCAGCATACAAAGAGCACGGTCAAGTCTTTTGAAGGCCTCCTCAGGAGCACTGACATTGCCCGCTACCAGGGACAGAGATTCTGTGAACAACTGGCCCAAGGAAGCCAGCTGGCAGAGAACCTTGCCAGCAAACTCACCACTGGTAAGTTGGCTTACAGCCCATGGAGACCCTTAGGTCCTCACAAAGATCCTAGCCTCACATAAGTCTCCAGGACTTATGCTTCCAGGACTCTACGAGTGACTTTTTAGCCAGATGTCCTACTGTTTTGTGCCCTTCTCAGCCTATTGATAGTGATACTATCAGGTGGAAATACCTACCATCGTCGCTCACCTGGGCCCAAGGGGAGCCCCCACAGACATTTCCTCTTTCTTTTAAGGATAATTGATTTACAGTAAAATGGCTCCCTGTAGTGTCAGTGCTGTGAGCTTTGAGAAATGCATATAGGGTGGTGTAAGCACCACCACAATCAAGATACAGAATAGTTCCATCACCACTAAAAGTTCCTTTGTGCCTCTATGTAGTCAACCATTGTCTCCCGCCCCAGTTTCTGGAAGCCACTGGATCTGTTTTCTGTTCCTACAGATTTTCCATGTCCAGAATGTATCAGTAGTTTGTTTCTTTTTCTACTGTTGAGTACTATTCCATTATATGGATATACTACTTTTATTTATCTATTTACCCATTGAAGGACATTTGGATTATTTCCAGTTTGGGGCCATTATGAATAATAGCTATAAAGATTCACACACAGGTTTTTGTGTGAAAATACATTTTCACTTCACTTCACTTCACTTCAATTGGGTAAATATGTAAGAGTGGGATTGCTGGGTCACGTGGTATGTGAAGAGGAAACTGCCACACTGTTTTCCAGTGTGGCTATACCATTTCAGATTCCCACTGGCGATGTGTGAAAATTTCAATTGTTCCCCAATATCAACTTTTGATAATTTCAGGTTGTTGTTCTTTTGCTTTTTGTCTTTTTAGCAATTTTAATAAGCATGGGGGCGGGGAAGGCATTGTGGTTTAATTTACATTTCCTTAATGACTAATGATTTTAAGGATCTTTTCAAATGCCTATTGACTCTCCTTATATCTTTGGTGAAGCCAGTGTTCAAACATTTTGTCATTTTAAAATTGAGTTGTTTGTTTTCTTATTATCAAGTCTTAAGGGTTCTTTACATTTCTGCATACAAGTCCTTTATGAGATATTAAATTTGCAAATATTTTCTCCTGGACTATGGCTTATCTTTTCATTCTCTTCACAGTGTCTTTCAGAGAGCAGAATTTCTTAATTTTAATGAAGTCCAACTTACAGATGATGCTTTTGTAGTTATATCTAAGAACTCTTTTCCTAAAACAAGATCCTTTGCCTTTCCATATAAATTTTACAATCAGCTTGCCATTATCTGTTAAAAAAAAAAAAGGCAACAGCAACAAAATCCTCTTGGGATTTTGAGTGGCATTGCTTTGAATTTATGAAAAATTTGAGGAGAATTGACATTTTTAATAATACTGAGTTTTCTGGGGCACTTAAGTGGCTCAGTTGGTTGAGTGTCTGACTCTTGGTTTTGTCTCAGGTCATGATCTCAGGGTCCTGGGATTGAGCCCTGTGTGGGTTCTCTGCCTCTGCCCCTCCCCTACTCTCTCTCAAATAAATAAATCTTAAAATAATATTGAGTTTCCTAATTAATGATCATAGTGCCATATTAGGCTGAGGAAGTTCCCTTTTTAATTTTTTTTGTTTTATTTATTCATATTTGAATGAACAAACAAATCTTTTGTTTTTTGTTTTATGATGGTGACTGCTGACAACAGGGAGAAAAAATTATGTCTCCTAATGCAAACATGAGGAGTCATGGTCCAACCAAGAAATGTTTCCACCTTATTTGAGGAAGTTCCTTTTTATTCCTTATTTTCTGAGCGTTTTATTTTGAATAGATGTCAAATTCTATCAAATGCTTTTTATTCATTTATTGAAATGGTTGAATATTATATCGTAAGACCCTGGGTCCTGTTAAAACCCTCCAGAAATTATTTTTTTTAAAGATTTTATTTATTTATTTGACAGAGAGAGACATAGCAAAAGAGGGAACACAAGCAGGGGGTGTGGGAAAGGAGAAGCAGGCTTCCCGCTGAGCAGGGAGCCCAACCTGGGGCTTGATCCCAGAACCCTGGGATCATGACCTGAGCCGAAGGCAGACACTTAACGACTGAGCCACCCAGGCACGCCTGGAAATTATTTTTTAGCAGGCAATCAACCCCATTAGGGTCAGATTCCCAAGTTCTGTCTCACCTTCTATAGGCAGTGGTTCCAATATCAGGTGAGCGTTCAGTACCTTTGATATGCTGTTGTTTGGGTTGGTCCGGCAAATATGTTACTCAGGTTTAGTCTGGAGTAGATGGTGGTTTATGTGGTAATTTAGTTCTCTAATCCTTTGTCATGATCTGTTGGGCCAATTCCACACATATTCGGTTTGGGGATGAGTCCTGGTACTTTTGTCAGCTCATAGACCGTTTTCCAGCCTCTCTTCTCTCTGGTATTTCTTCTATACTTTCAAGTTCCCAAGGGTCCCTTTTCCAAGTTCCTCTGTTTAGAAAGATTGAGTTTTCTCAGAGATTTCTCTTCTCACACTGCATTGCAGTTCTGCATGACTGGGGCTACTTTGAGAGCAAGGAGGCAAGAAAATTGAGAAATAGAAAATAAAAGGGAGCACTCTTCACACTTTTTAGGCAAGAGGTCCCTTTTTCCTGGTTCTTTGGATGAGAGAGATTCTCTTTTGTGGTTCAGGTCACTGTCCAGCTGCCTTGACAATACAGTTCAGCAACTGTGCTGGTCTCTAGGTGGGGTCAGGAAAAAAAAGGGGGAAAAAAAAAGAGAGAAGATTCTCTTCACACACTCTGGCATGCACAAGTGCCTTTGTCAAGTCATTTGGTTAGAAAGGTTAAGTGGGTTCTCCTGAAGTTGTTGCTTCTCAGAGACTGCAGTGGGTTCTTTATGAGAGCCTAAAAGGACATACAACCATGGTCTAGCCACCAGCTATGTGGCAAAAATGAAGATTACAGCTGCAGAAGTCCAGAAGGCAGCTGAATGAGTATTCTGTGCACTGGACAAAAGACATTTTCAACTTTTTGCCTTGACTTGGAAGTAGATGTCATGGTGATGATCTGCCACACCAGGAAGAGACCGTCTGGTGTTGCTCAGGAAAGCTTGCCAGGCTACTTCTCTGAAGACACAACCTAAGCCCTCTCTCTCAGAGTATTCTGAACAAACATGCAGAGTATTATGCCTCCGATCATATAGGCCCTCATATTTGTAATGTGTGAAATGGGACCTGCTCAATTTCTGACTAGCTGTTTCTGTTTTTTGGTTTGTAGAAAATTACAATGATAGGAAGGATGAAGATGGACAGGAGCCCCTGGCACCCAGGTAACTGAATGCTGAAAGGGCCGGTAATGGAATGGTGAAGTCTAGAGAAGATTCCAGAAGCAAGACACCAAGAGGCCAAAGTCCCAGATCCAGGAAAAAAAACTCAGAAACTGCTGATTTTACCTATTTCATTCATTCATTCATTCATTCATTCATTCATTCATTCATCATACAATGATGTGTCTGTCCTTTTAAACAATGTTGTCTGTTTTCTGTGCAGTTCTTGTATTGGTTACCATTTCCTAGTAATTCATCAAGGTTAATTAGCTAGAGTCAGTCTGACATAAAGGCCAGAGATCCCTGGTTTCTGTAGTCTAAAAACCTGTATGGTAAAAACAAAACAAAAAAACCCAGAGTGAGACATTGTCTCAGGAGCCACTAATTCAGTGGACCACTTCATATTTTTTAAACAAAAGTTGTCCACAGCATTTTAAGGTCTCTGTGTGTCATAAGTGTATTTGAGAGTAGTTGAGTCTACTTCCTGATCCACGTTATGTGGCCAGCACACTGAGCACCTGCTGCTCCCTTTTACCAAACTCTAGGTACAGTAACCCTAGTCAGAAGTGGATTGTTATGCTTTCTCTCTCATCCAGATGGCCTTTTTGGTTTCTGGGGTCTCTTCCAGGAGCTTGAGATAGGACCAGCTGTGAAGCTGTGGTTCCAGGTTGCCTTAGTTTAATCTCCTGTCTTACCTCCCTTCCCTGCCCCCACCCCAGGCTCTGCAGGGAGCTCCAGGAGGAAGAAGAGAATGAAGTCTCGGAAGACTCACTAGATGAACGGTATTTGACTCATTCCAGTCACTGTGACTCTCACCAGCCTCCCAGCAGCAGTGCTTTCCCCTCTGATGTGCAGGAAGCCAGCTCTGTTGCAGAAGTCACCAGTGAGTACTCCCATTATAAAGAGAATAAAACTCCACCAACACTGGAAAAATGGAGAATAAAGCTCCAGTAGCTTCTACATGCTTACCACCTCTGTCTAGGCTGAATGAGATCATCTCTACAGGCAGGCCCTAAAGATTAACCTTGAAAAAGTGACTAGGCTGAACACAGCTCTGGGACCAAGTTTCAAGTACAGGTCCCTGGTGGGTCAGGTAATTTGCATTGTTCCTGGTCCACACCTCACCTCAGTCACTCTAGTCCCCACTGGCATGTGCAAGCGGATGGACTCCAGGCAAGTCAGATTGAGAGTGAAGGGATCATGGCAGACTCTCTGCTACCACTTCAGCATGTATACAGAATCTAATAGACCTCCTCTAAGATGAAGCATCTTAGCTTTCTGGGAATGTTCTTGCTAATTATAGTTCCTGAACAGTGTCCCTTAAGCTTTTCTAACTGCCTGAGAAATACTAGCAGTCTTGCCCATATTTTTGGAGGTGCATTATCATGGTTCCAGTCTCCAGTCTTCATCTCCCCTCAGATGACTTGCTTCCTTACAAGGTTCCATCTTAGTACCAGAACATCAGGTGGTTTCCCTAAGGACAAGGCTCAGCTCTTGGCAACCCTTGGGTAAATGGCTAGGGTTCCCATCCTTTGTGTGATACCATTTTAAAAAAATGTCTGTGGGTTTAGTCTCAGTGCTTTAAGAGCCCCTAGGAGTAGAAGCCTCACTGGTGTGTGTGTGCGTGTAGATTAAAACCCCAACCTTCATCTCCTTTCCCTTTGACTGTTTGACTTTCCTTTGGGGATAAAAGTTTGGACTGTTAGAGAATTATATGTCTTATGTCCTCTTGTAGGCATGAGAAAGAAACTTTTTAAGATTTTATGTATTTATCTTTATTTGAGAGAGAGAGAGCACGCAGGGGGAGGAGCAGAGGGAGAGGGACAAACAGACTTTGTCCTCACCACAGAGCCCTATGAGGGTCTCGATCTCACAACCCTGAGATCATGACCTGAGAGGAAATCAAGAGTCAGATGCTTAACCAACTGAGCTACCCAGGCATCCTAAGAAAGAGACTATCTTAATCCAGTCAGTGTTAGCTGAGTTTTTTAATAGTGATGTAAGCTATGTCAGGTTTTGTCTTTTTGCCAATGGTGGGTGCTTTTTATTACCCAGGCAGTCCCCTTACAAAGGCTTCCTCATTCCTATTTCCCATTTCACCTTGAGATGTAGAGGGAGGTCTTTGTCATCTATTAAAGATGTCCAGTCATAAATCATGTGGGAGAGGTATTTAGTAGAGACATTAACTAGTACCTGAAAGTCTTAAATAAGAAGTGGCCACACCTCTCCCAGTGCTAGATAAGCCCTACTCAGAAGGCTTATTTGGTATTTTCCCACCTTGTGTCAACCTCCTTTATACTTCCCTTATCCTTGTGTGAGAGGTGGTCCTGTGGAGTCTGCTTAGCACTGGAACATGCTTTGTTTGAAGGCCTTTAAGGGCTGTTAAAGGAAGTCCCCTGGTGTTCCCTGATGAAAGAGGAAGTTGGCAGAAGAATGGCGAAAGGCAGGAATCTTGCTGAGAGGCCCTTGGCCACCGCATTAGTAATAAGAATTCTCCATCTTCTACCTCATTCCCTGTCCTGGTGGAATGGCTGCAGAAGATGAGATCCAGAGCCTGCACCGGCACCTGAAGGAAATTATTTTCATCAATGACTGCCTTCAAGAAAAGCTGCAACATCATCTCAGCATTTCTGACCAAGGAAACGGTAGGGGCGGCCCAAGTCTGCCTGCTTCTGGCAATATGTATCTTTCTAAGGACTTGTCGTGTGTTTCAGGGCTTCACAGATTATAAGAACTTAATATACCTTACTTCACTTAGTCTTAGAAATGGCCCAACTAGGGAGAATAGGGCAGGTATGAATAGTCCTACTTTTTTTTTTTTAAAGATTCCATTTATTTATTTGACAGAGAGAGAGAGACACAGCAAGAGAGGGAACACAAGCAGGGGGAATGGGAGAGGGAGAAGCAGGCTTCCTGCGGAGCAGGGAGCCCGATGTGGGGCTCCATCCCAGGACCCTGGGATCATGACCTGAGCCAAAGGCAGATGCTTAACGACTGAGCCACCCAGGCGCCCCTGAATAGTCCTACTTTTTAGATGAATAAATAAGCTCAGATAGAGGTTTGCCCCAAGGTTGAGCTATCCCTCTATCTTCGAGTTGTCTGACGTCCAAAGCCCTTCTTGTGACTCCTCTGCTGTATGCTTTCTGCTGCTCCTCTCCTCTTGCGTGGTAGTCATTCAGTAGAACTCAGGTTGCTGAGTACCACGTTCAGCAGAGCGAGGGTCCCTGCTGCTGCCATCCTCATCCCCCTCTCTAATGTCTTGGTTACTCTTCATGTCCCCAACGTGGTTCTTCTCCCCACATCCTCCTCCTGGATTGCACTCACACAGAGGCCATCATTCCTCAGTCTTGGGCTGGGTCAGAACAGTGACTGGGTCTCTTTCCACACCAAAGCAGCAGCTATGTCATGAGAAAAGTCTCCTTCATAATTTCAGCCATTGGGTGTGATAATACTAATGAATGAGCTGGCATTTGTTAAGGGCCTTGTGAAAATTGAGCTTCTGTCCCATTACACTAAAGTCCCAACCTTTGAGTCCCCAGGGTTTTCTTCTGGGCTGAGAAAGAAGGGGAAAAGGAATTGCAGAAAGCATTATCTCAAGTGAATGTGTTTAAGTTGCCTAAACTGTAATTATTTCCTGGAATAGGATGCACGTCTAACCTCAACAGGCAGAGCTTGGAGTCTATTGCCCAGCTGTACAATGAAAAGAGAGGTATCAGGGAAGAAAGTCTGAGCCTTCTGGCTCACCTGAATCGTATTTCCAGAGGTAAGTGGTCAAAACCCCCAAGAGAAGGTCACTCTCAGAGCCTTCTTTTCTCTTGCCATACCCAGCTATAAAAACAAAAGGTGATGGGGAGGCCACAGCTACCCAAAGCCTCCTGACTCCTAACTCTCCATGTAGAGAGGGCTACCTCGTAGGTGCTCCCTCTACAGGTCCCCAGACTCCAGGCTCCAGGAAGGAGTACTTCTGGGAAATCCACCCTTCAGGTACAAACCACAGCTCACGGATGCAAGCCTGAGAAGAAAAGAACAATCCTCAAAGGTGAGAAGACATAAGAGAACAATTATTTTAATTGAGTAAAATTTGCCAAGATTAGATAAACTCTGTCTTAGAATGCTGAAAGAACAAGCAAACAGAATTTAGATTCTAGGTCAGTAATCTTTGAGGAAATGTGAGGACCAGAAAGGTACCATGAGCTTAAAAGGAGCAAAACCCCAATTTTCAAACTGATGAAAATAAAGTACTAAAAAATTGAAATAAGTATAGCTTATATTGATCCTTGGCAAAATACAAATTTATTGCAATCAAACTATAATATTCCAATCGCCTTATGGTTCCCAGCTCTTCCTATTGAGAAAAGCCAAACCAAACCAAATTGCCTTCAGATTGGCAAAAATATTTACAAACCTGCAAAATATCTTCAGCCTATCCCCTATATACACCAGACTCAGCATTTACTGAGTTTTTGCTGTGTGCAATGCCCACCCCAATAGACATCCCTGCCTGATCTGGTAGGTGCCTGTTAAGAAAGGTCACCTAAGATTCCTTTTACCTTTTTTTTTTTAAGGTTTTTATTTATTTATTTATTTGACAGAGAGAAAGCATAAGCAGGGGGAGCTTCAGAGGGATAGGGAGAAGCAGGCTCCCCACCAAGCAGGGAGCCCAACATGGGGGCTTGATCCCAGGACCCCGGGATCATGACCTGAGCCAAAGGCAGAAGTTTAACCGACTGAACCACCCAGGCGCTCCTACCTTCTTCTTCTTCTTTTTTTTTAAGATTTTATTTATTTATTTGAGAGAGAGTGAGAAAGAGAGCACAAGTGGGGGGAGGGGCAGAGGGAGAGGGAGAAGCAGACTCCCTACTGACCCACTGAGCAGGGAGCCCCACGTGGGGCTCAGTTGCAAGACCCTGGGATCATGACCTGAGCCGAAGGCAGATGCTTAACCGACTGAGCCACCCAGGCACCCCTTCTTTTACCTTCTTGTACCTACGTTGCTTTTGTTTCCAAGGACTCTTCTAAATAGGACTGTCCTCAGATTACTCGAACCAGTTGCCTGGTGGCTCAGAGAATGGAAGGAGCTGAGAGTTTATGTCAGTCCTACAGCACCCAGTGACCCTACCTGTAAATCATTATCCATGATTGATAGGTACAGGCATAGGAAAGCCCAGCTACTTGACTTGAGGGAGCCTTTGTGGTGAATTAGCTTTGGGAAAAGGGAATCTAGAGGTGAACTTAGTAAAGACCCAGGTAGATAAACAGAAGGAAATCGTTGCCTTGGAAATCCAATTAAGAAAGAGAGATTCACCTCAGATCGTAAGAAGGAAGATTAAAATCTTTAGGTCCTGGGGCGCCTGGGTGGCTCAGTTGGTTAAGCGACTGCCTTCGGCTCAGGTCATGATCCTGGAGTCCTGGGATCGGGCTCCCTGCTCGGCGGGGAGTCTGCTTCTCCCTCTGACCCTATCCCCTCTCATGCTCTCTCTATCTCATTGTCTCTCTCAAATAAATAAATAAAATCTTTAAAAAAAAAAAATCTTTAGGTCCAATGGGAAAGAAGCCCATGGTGGGACAGCTAGAGAGAAACAAAGAGAACCATGGGAAATAGGGCAGGTCTCCTAAGTAGTTTTAAATCTGGCTGTCATTATAAGAACCTGGTAAGGTTTTGCCTAACACAAATGCCTAGATATCACAGCCAGAGATTCTGATTAAAATGGTTTCACATGTGTTTGGGGTATTTGTTTTTAAAAAGCTCCTAGGTGAGGGACACCTGGGTGGCTCAGATGGTTAAGCATTTGCCTTCAGCTCAGGTCATGATCTCAGTGTCCTGGGATCGAGTCCTGCATTGGGCTCCCTGCTGAGAGGGAGCCTGCTTCTCCTTCTCCCTCTGCCCCTGCTGCTCCCCCTGCCCCTGCTGCTCCCCCTGCTTGTGCTCTCTCTTTCTCTCTCTCTCTGACAAATAAATAAATAAAATCTTTCAAAAAAATTAAAAAAGAAAATAAAAGCTCCTCGGTGATTCAAATATATGGCTACCAATGAGAAGGACCATCAATCTCCCAAGATCTCAGCTCACCAGTATAGAAGTATCTCAAATGTGCAGTTACTTATGAAAGGCCGACACTAGCCATTGATGGGATTTGCATTCCTCTCTCAACAGTCTTGTTTGTATAGCATGGAAAAAAGAGAAAAGGACAGGTAGATGGATGGATTAGATCTATAACCAGTCTATCTGGAGCAGTTTCTCAGATTTTTTTGACCACAAGACACAGTAAAAAATACAATTCTTTGTAACCCGATGTTATGTTTAAAACAAACAAAAAACCTTACTATATGTAATAGGTCCTATGTAGTATTTTCCTTCCTGATTCTTTAAGTAAAACCTGTAGTAAACAGTCTACTATATTGATTTCACAACCCACTAGTGGTTCCTGATCGCAATTTGAAAAATTTTGCTTTTGATTAGTCTTTTCATTAAACAAAATCTTAAAAGAGTATTGGGGGCAAAATTTTTCCTCCACCTATTTATGTTTGAATGATCCAGGACCTTTGAATTAACTAATGATAGATAAACTAACGATAGATAAACAGGAGAAAAGACAAGGTTCCTTTACATATGCATGTTCCTTTACATATACATATGCATTGCTTTGTAATGAGTAACTCCCAGAATACCCAGAGGTAAAAGTTTGTATACCAACTTAACAAAGGGTTTCAGGGCTTCAGTGAAAAAGTGTGGAAAATTCTATTGGACTTTTGATGCTATTGGTAATGGACAGTCTGTATCCATGCAGCTGAATTCTCAGGAAACTCCCTTGGAAGGGGTGGGAGGGCAGGTTTCATGTGGCACCTGTGTTTTTGGGATGTTCTGCTCTAGTCAGATAAAGGAAATTCAGATAAGATTTTATTTTATTTTTAATTTTTTAAAAAATTTATTTATTTATTTATTTGACAGAGAGAGACACAGTGAGAGAGGGAACACAAGCAGGGGGAGTGGGAGAGGGAGAAGCAGGC